CACGCACGCACGCACGCACGCACGCACACACATATATATATATATAATGCATTTAATGTAGAAATGATACCAATGAGTATCGTCCGACAAGTCTTACTTCCAACCGATGGTAAAGAAAATACAACGACATAGCAACTACTTTAAAGTTGAACGATGGCGCAATTTGTCAGAATATAATTTTTGTATTGCTATTTGAACTATTTAAATATACTTCATCTATTTTTTCATCTATTTTACTTATTTAATCTTTTACTCATTCAAAATTTCAAAGAAAAAAAATTGTTTTTTTTTGTTTAAAATCTAAATTTTGAAGAGGTTACTTCTGCAAGATAACAAACATCTCCAGAATGTGAAGATAATTTAAGTAATTTTTATGAATGATAATCAAGATAACTTGATTATCATTCATAAAAAAAAATTTAGGAATCAATTTGTTTTATTTATTTTGATTTTGTTCTCTGCTGTTGACTTACTAAACAAATGATATTACGTATTATACTACTGTATTATGTAAAGATTATTAAAATTAAATAGAAAATAAAAAAAGGAGGGCGGGTAAAGTCGTCGATTTTTGCCCCCAATCGAGAGGTGAATGTTTTTTTATAATTTTTGAACAGCAGAATTATGTACGCAGAACAATCAGTTTTACATAAAAATGAAAAGAATATATATATATTATATAATATAAAAATGTAAATGAAGTCAGTAAATTAAGGTTTTTGTCATAAAAATGAGATACGATACGTACTGATCGTTTTTAATGTTTAAACTCTTAAAACCATCAAATATATGACATTTTGTTGTAATAGAATTTTAATAGAGAAGAAAACAAACATATGAAAACTCGAAGGATGTAAGACGAGAATCAGATACACGCGTTTTGTACGTTATCTTCCCGCCTTTTTATTAAACCCTATAGGCTCTTAGAGCTTATCCGTGGACTTCTATGCGTGGTGCACATCGAATTTTGCACATTATTTGGCCTTTAAAAGGACCGATTCTAATTCATATTTCAAGAGCCACAATCATTTGTGTGTTTTATGAAAATTGACATCAATTATAATCGCATTTAAATTAAAAATTAAATTGTCATTAATGAACTGTGATTTATATATCTACAGTTCAAGCGTATGAGAAGTATGAAGTATTTGGGTTTTTAGTCTAAGATTTATGTGTCAGAAGTTTAGAAGACCACGGATAAGTGTGATAATCTAAGAGTCTAGAGTTTAAGAAAGCGGAAAAATGACATACTGATTCTCGTCTTGCATCTTTCAAGTTTTCGTTTGTTTATTTCCTTCTCTATTTCAACTATAGCATAACAAAATGTCATATATTTGACGATTTTTAAGAGTTTAAACATTAAAAATGATCATTATGTGTTTTATTTTTATGGCAAAAATTGTATGCTTATTTAGTTACTTCATTTTTACACATATTCCCTTCATGTTTATGGAAAACTGATTGTTTCATGTAATTCTACAGCCTAAAAAATATATTTAAAAATATACATATTTCACTTCCCGGTTAGGGAGTGAAATGTATGTTTTTTTTATAGTTTTTGGGGGGCCAATAGATCAACAAAAGATAATAAACAAAAATTTTGATGACTTTTATCTGTCCTCCTTTTTTGCTACACAATATATATTAATTTGTCTTCTATTTATCGTTAAGAATATTCACATTACTTGCATTTTTTGCACTCTTGGCTTTCTCTCTATTCAATATCCGAAAATATATTTATCTTTTAAAATTTTCGGGAATTTTTGGCAATGCAAACAAATACACTATTCTAAGGATCGAAACGACATACAAAAGTAAGTACATTCACGAGATGTTGACCAATAAAATTATAAATATTCAAATTAATTCGCGCATTGTTGTAAAATTTTGTATCCATGATGCTGGGAATCGGTTCGAGATCTCAGTTCTAGCAAATCTGAGATAGAAAATGAATAACAAATCAAATTCGAACAATTTTCAATCACATCAATGCGACTGGTCAATTCTTTTTCATCTTGAATCAATTTTTATCATCGTGGACATAAGACTTAATTTTCAACCTCATTACATAATCAATTCTTTGTTTAAAAATTACATACATTTTAAGTCAATATTCGACAACACTGTGCAACATTAAAAAAATTTTTTTCATGATTCGTGACACATCGCAGGTGATTCTAATAGATTTTTCCTATAAATTATAAATCTATACTTGAAAATGTACTGTATTAGATTTTTTAGATAAACTAGATCAAAAAGATAAACTAGATAAAAAAAAAATACATTTTTGTTTTGTTTTTAAAATTGGTTTTAAAAAATGGAACATCATAAAAATTTGAATATTAGCTCAAATATGAAAGCTCAAATCCTAAAACAAAGATAAATAAATAACACAACAAACACATAATCACTAAGAAATAATTCCTATATGGTCAAAGTTGTATTTTGAGTGCTTTAAATAATTTCATGTGAATTTACATATTTGTAATTTATCGAATTACGCGCTGAATTGGTAACATGATAAAACTTTTTTTGTAGCACAGATTTTTTTAGAAATATGGTGGACACAAATTACAGCATGTATCTACCATATTATCATCCTAGAAATAAGAATTACATCCAGACAGCATGCATATTTTAGAAATATCAGAGAGATATTTCAATACGTAACATTTAAATTTTTTCGTATTACTTATTTATCTTCATTTTACGTTCCATTCTTTTTGAAAACTTCAAAAATGACCAAAAACATGTTTTGTCACTTTTAACCTGGGGTTTTTCTTAAAAACCTGATAAAAATTATATTTTCAATTATGATTTATTTATCAATGGGAAAAACCTATTAGAATCACTTGCCTCGTGTGATAAAATAAAATTCTTGTACAGTGCAATCAATCATTGACTTTAACTTGATAATCAACTCCAACTTGACGGGATCAAGATGCAACATTATTAAGTGATCAAAATGCTACATATGTGCATATTGAGACGAGAAATAAATACACATGTCCTTGACAGCAAACAACAAAAATGAAGGAATTAATAATAATACGTTGTCAAGACTATCGATAACAATTCCAAGTCGTGAAACACTTTTGAAAATACAAATACACGACAAAATATTGGTCGCTTAAATTAGGTTAAGTTAGGTTAACTTACATCGCTCACAGTCTTCCCGATTGGAATGTGCTCGTAGCCCTGCACCCGCACGTGATCCCTCTGAAATAAACGTAAAAAAATGTGGACCATGCGTTATAACTCGAGGATGTTTGCACACTTACCCAGGCCTGATGCTCCGCTTCGAGAGCGGCGACTTCGCTCTCATCATCGCATGGTTTATCGGCGTTGAACCACAGCGGATCAGTCGCCCGCGGTCGCAAGTCAGGCCATAGTGGTCTGATCGACATCACGAGCAATTTGAGGATGAGAGAATCGCAGTGAAAAACCTTTCAACAGACCACTTCTGATGTTTTCCAGCAAGGACACAATCAGACACAGTGTAACGTGTGTGTATGCCCATATTCATAGTCAGACCTTGTACTAAAGGCTTCCTTAAATTTATTTTTAGATGCTCAGCAGCCAATGAAATAATTCGTAGAGATCTAAAAATAAATTTAAAGAAGTCTTAAATATAAGGCCTGACTATGAATACGAGTAATAGGCTACTTTCCTTTCAGAAGACACTTCTTCTTTGATTAATGGCTCCCGCCTCCCGAAATAATACACAAACTCACACGCACATGTTCAACCGTCAGTTGCTGCATCCTTGTTCACCGCCTGGAGCCGCGCTCAGCTCCTTCTATAGGTACATTCAGTGGGTGCATCCAAAAGCACGACCGCTCACTGAGCGCTCAGAAAGCTCTTGTATCTGATTGGTATATTCTGTTAAAACTAAAAATATAAACCAAACAGATACAAAAAGCTCAGTGAGCAATCGTTTGAATTGGTGATCCCATAATTAGTTCATCTTCTGCGGAAAAACTATCGCTGTTGTTTTCGTTCAAAATTTATTGACAATTTAATACGTTTATATCCATGTCTGTTTACATTGCCACAGTTTACTGCAAAGTCGTTTCGAAATACGACATTACAGTAGTGCTGGCAGTACCACAGTAGTTTTGGAACGGCTGCGGCAGTGCACTGTTGTGACGTCATGATGATTGCACTGCCAAAAAGGAAACATACCCAATGATTAAGGATATACGATTGATCACTTGCGTAGGTGGTAAGGAGGGTACGCTATTGTTCTTCATTGATAATACTAACCCAATATATGAAAATCTTTTAATAATAAGAAAGGCTAATTTATGATTTATTAAAATGAAAAGATAACATTGATTGCTAATTCTTAATTATGAATCATAATATTAATTTCTATTATTAGAAAATGCAGGTAATTTAATGCAGGTTTTATGTTCAATGATTATCGATAACTTGGCAACATTGCATTCTGAAAATAAGGTTGGCATTTCTACTCGAAACTTCTTACGGATTAATAATTGACAGTTAATAATTGACAATTAATTCAAGTTAAAATATTATTTTCATATACATGTGTTTTACAGTTATTTTATACGCTGCTTCGTTATAAAGGCATATTCATAATTAATTCATAACTAATTGATAATTATTTTAAAATTAAAAAATGCTTTAATTTTAATATCACGAATTATGTAATATGATTTATGTGATAAGAGTTGTATGATAAGAATTATATTATAAAAGTTACGTTTTAATATTTTAAATATTATAAGTATATTAACATTATTAATACATACATATTTATATTATTGTATTAATATCTTTTTAAAAAATCTGCGTATTTTTTTTATTATAATGTTAAATAAAAATTTTTATACTTAAGATAAGATATATATTAGTGTTGTAATAAATAAAATAAATATTGTGAATTGAAAAAAAAATAAATATCTTGTTATATATTAATTTATTAATTTATGAAGAGGATTACGTTATATGTACATTGAATAAATTTAGTAGATGACGTTATTTGTATATTAATACATTTGTATATTAATTTGTATATTAATATAAATGTACATTAATGTACATTTATAGAGGAAAGACTATTATGAGATACCGAGTTTATTTTGAGTAAATGCTAGAAGTCTATGGACAGAATTTAAAAAAAATAATAGATTATTTTTAAGAGAATTTAATAAGCTTTAACGTTATATAAAATTTAATTTAAATTTCATTTTTTTTTTTGAAAATTAAAGAAATGTAAAAAATGAGCAAATCGCAAAGTCAAAAAATTGTGCTTCTAATATGAAATGCCCTGAGAAATTGATAAAACATAAGTATATCAGTATTGCAATTAAAAAATTTTATTTAATATTTCTTAAATAACAAACAAACACAGTCAGCGTGCACGAAAAATGAGTATGCGATACATTATATCCAGAACTCGTCTTCAGGTAGTTGAAATCAAGCATCACAAAAATAGGCACTTGATGTTCATTCCGATGTTATCCTTTTTATTATTGTACAATAACATTTATACTTTAGCAGCGATTTTCACTATGACATTGGAGCATGAGTTATTTCATATTAGAAATAACTCATGCTGGGTATTTCTCATATTACCACGCCTCACAGTTTTACAATCATCAAATCTAACTTCTATAATTAAGTAATTCAATATATCCTGTATTTTTCTATTAGTACAACCTTATTCTATCATTATATGAACAATTTATTGCCAAATATTTATTTTATTAAATAATAAACAAGATTTAAATGCTTATCTTAATAAAACTTGAAGACATCTAAATTCTAAAATTTTTTTTACAATAACTACAGACATCTAATGAATTTTCTACTAAATAGTTATTAATCCAAGAGCAATAAATTCATGATGGAACCAATAGATAGCGTTTATTAGTTAGTAGAAACGCTGTTATCTCATATCAAGCAGTTATCTCATAATAGAGGGCTTTCCTCTATATTAATATCGTTTTTTTTATATATTTTAGTATATTTTCAAATATATTTTACTACATTTTTTGCAGTAATAGTTGCTATAGCTTTCTTAAGTTAAAAACGTAACAATAAAGTTATAAGCAAGAAACATATATTCAATCCACAGATTTCTATTATAACACTAGACTGTTAACTCCTCACTTTTTCTGTTGTCAGATATTATATATTACTTGTGGCACATGCGCATTGTAAAACCGTTATGTAAACTATATGTTTATATATTTTCATATACTCGAAGAGATTATATATACACACAAAATGAACGAAATTAAGTATATTCAATACGTTTTTGCGTGAAATGAAAGAAGAGCTGACACTAATTTAATATAAAAAAAAAAACATTTATATTTAAGGGTTACAAATTTTATTTCTAAGACATTTATAATAATTATACTTGAAATTAATTACTTCAAATTAGTATTAAAAAATGCACTTTTGTGGGATTTGAACCTGGGATCTCTGGATTATGAATCTTCTACATTACCCGCTATATCACTTCTTTAATTCGTAAATATGTTATTCATTCTCTACTTCAATTATTCATTCTCTACTTCCAGCTAAACTAGTAACGAAATTATATAGATATAATAAAAATATCATCATTTAACAGATATAATAAAATATAAACAATTTACATTACTATGAGACAACATTGAATAAGTGTCGGATAATCTAATCTCGTTTAGTTGATGTCGCGCGCCGTGATTAACCTAATATTCGGACTGTGTTTGACTTGGTTTGCGAGTGTTCACATCGATCATTTATTTTACTTCTAATCAAAGAGAAACAAAAGAATAGCTCAATTATTTTTGTTACAATTTTTTTTAACTTAGTTGGATTAAAACGAAAAATTCCCTACTTATAATTTTGAATAATTTAAGTAACATTTATGGTCCATTTTTAATAAAAACTTTTTTTATTCAATTAGATTAAAAAACTGCATTTCATATTTAAAATATTGAATTGAGCAGTATTCACGATACACAGAAAATGCTAATATTATTTTTAGATTGAAAGGCATAGAAATATGCTTTACGCAATTCCTAAATAAATAAGAATGCATTTAGAATTGAAAAGGCATAGATATTTGCTTTACGCAATTTTTATAAATGAATAAAAATGCATTCAGGATTGAAAAGGATTCATTTTAACATTCATGAATCCGTATTTCTGAAAATTTGAATCCATTTTGATCCATTTTAATCCATTCTCGTTTGCTGTAAGTTAAAATTCTTACAAGGATGTAAAAAAATGTTTATTCTAACTATTTTTATATTTTTTATATAGATTGAAGCATTTTAAAAGTAAGTAATTATATAATATATCGGTCATTCAATGTATTTGCTATGCATAAAACTCTAACTTTAACTCTTTCTTTCTTATAAATTATACGATCAATCGGTTTGAAATTTTAACATTGTATTAGTGTTTTGTTTTAAATAATATTCTGTGTAATTTTTAGATAGATCGAAGTATTTTGATTTTTCGATCGTATCTCCTTAAAAGTAATGCACTGCCCACGAAAATGGCAAAGCCCATTCGGACTCCCATCGAGCCCAATGTCGTTACATTGCACAGACGCGCGTCAGGACTATGGTAGAAGAAATAACATGGGCCGTGTATCAAAATTACTGTCAGCACTGAAAATGGTACAATTTTCGTTACATGCACTATAGATTTTCAGTACTAGTAATCAAGTTTGGAACATCGTGTGCAATTGGACGATGTCTCTCTCTAAAGCTCCGCCATCTCTTTCTATAAATGTCATCAAATGTCGCGTAGAGATAAAGACTACCAACTGTCAAACACGAAACATATTTTATGTCGAGAAGTTGGCATACTCAATCTTTCCTTGTCTGATATATTTTATAATGCATCTTAGTTTATCTTTATACCTTCATAATTTCTGTCTTAAATTAAATATTGAATAAAAAATTAAATGAATAATGACAGTGCCAATAATACATATGGAATAAGTAAAAGGATATCACCAATACAGTAAATACCATATTAATTATTATTACGAAATTATTAACATAATTAAAATTGTAATACATAAGCAGGGAAATAGACTAAGGTTGAAATCACACAGTGCAGAATAGAACTACGGAATAGAAAATGCATCATTGAAGCAACCAATCAGCATTATTCCACACTTTTCCATCACGCAAGTTTTGTGTTTACATGGTGCGTTAAAGATCCAGAATAAATATAATTTAAATACTACTAATTTTATGTTAACAATTTGCTTATTAAAATAAAATATAATTTTTCAAATTGTAAAAACAATTATCATTGTGTTGTAATATTTAATATTTTACAATTGATATTTACAATCTTATAACAATTTTTTGAACTGCTTTAATGCATTTACTATCATTTTTCCGCATCGTTTGAATATAGCACACAAAAATTTGCGTGATGGCAAAGTGCGGAAAAGGGCACACTAAAGTCGCCCGTAATACATCATATAAAAGTTATTTTTTAATCTTGATATCTATATTTATGCACTCAGATTTTATCATTTTGTTT